GGGCAGGCGGGGCGGCCTTGACCTTGGGCAGTGGGTGAGAGCTTTATGTAAGGTAATGCACAGAGATCTGACCCATATGAAAAGTAAGAACAGAGAAAAGATGGTAATTCAAGTGCAGAAGCAGCACAGGCAAAAGGGTGAAACCTTTTAAAAGGCCCTGTGTCTTCTGAGGTTTTAAAGAATGGGAGGGGGGTGGCGCTGTGGTTGTGCAGACTGAGGTCAAATGGCAAGAGGTCTAGAATGCCAGGCCAAGGCATCTGAAGGTAGCCCGGAGGCCAGGGGTCAGCTCCAGGGCCACCCCAGCCTCTTTCTGCAATTGGACTTCTTTGGAACCCAGCCACTCTCACCGGGTTACACTGTCTGCGACCAGGCAGAGACCGAATGGCCACAAAGCCTAACACCCTACTCGGGGGCCCTTTACAGAGAAGTGTGCTGCCTGCTGCGGTGGGGTCTGAGGAGCCACGCAGGCCCTTTTAGCGGAGAAGTAGCCGGACCTCAGACTCTGTTTCAGAAAGTCCATGAGGGAAGCCTGGGAAGGATGCACTGAGACACGGCCCAGATGGCGGGGGACCAGGGGAATGCGATGAGTTTTCGGCAGCCACAGCCACTTGGGCATCTGGTTAATTATCTCAGCATGAAAACGATGTAAAGTAAAAATCGACAACAACATAAAAACACACACCAAAAAAGCTGGAATAGAAACACCCCCCTCCCAACAAACATCCTAGGCTCCATTCCAAAAAATATATGTGAGCTTCAAGAAACAGAAATTTATCTTCCTTTCACTGTTTTCCTCCACAATTTTTTATTGTCTCATTTTTTTTTTTATCGGACAAACAACCATTATGATTTCGGCAAGTCCCACCCTCTCCCTCCTCCCCACTCCAAAGGGAACCTGAGGTATTTGTCATGCCCGTCTATTTTGTTCTTTCAACAGCATTTCAAGCCATAACAGTACATTCTGATTCAAGTCAATCTTGCTAATTTAATAAAGAAAACAAAGACAGAAAATGCTTTAGTGAAACCCAAGTCCCAAAGAGAAAGCAGAAAATAAAAACACCATCCCTGGGTCTGAAATTTCTTAGACAGTCCAGCAAATCATCACCATATTTCCCCTGGAGTTGGTGGCGCTCCCCCCCCCACCCACTTCCATCTCATTGGGACCCTCCTCAGGAAGGCCGGGCAGAGTCCCATTCCCAGCACAGAGCCTGGAGGTACCTCACTCACCTCCCAGGAGCAGAATAGACCCTGGAGATCTTTCTTTCCCAATGTGCCAATACATTTGGGTGATTCTCTTAGGACAGTGACCCCAAAACACAGTGATGGTCTTTGGAACCCAGCGAAACAGCAGGATCGATGTTAGGAGAACTGCCTTCCCCCCAAACCCCATAGCCTTGCACGTGAAATACTCAGGCGTCTGGAGCACCGCCGTCTCGTTTGGTCATGCAGGTGCCTGTTCCTGGGACTCACCTCAATACTCTAAGATTTTCATCTCTGCAGTACAGACCACAGGTCTCCCATGAGGTCTCTAACTCCCAGACTTCGTCTTTCTCCAACTTCCTAACCTCCTTCCTACCTACTTTGCATCTCCTTCTCCTTCCTCCCACATTTACCAGAAGCCCGGTATGTGCTGGGTGGTGAGGACATGAGATGAAGACACAAGGGATGCAGCCGCCGGGGTGGGGGCTGGGAGGGCAGTCAGATCACTGAGGAGAGGGTCGCGCTCCAGCTCTCAGAGCTGATGGGGAGGAGCACAAAGCATCACCCAAGCACCAAAGCAGAGAGACCATTCCTTTGCAGAGCGCACTGACCACTGCACGGAATTGGGACAGACAGCTGGCCTCAATCACAGGCTCTGGTCCCGCGCGGCCTGACTGCTAGCCACTAGCTGCATGTGGCTACTTAAATGAACAGGAAACAACATGAATAATTTAGTCCCTGGGTTGCAGGAGTGACATTTTAAGTGCTCAGTAGCCACAGGGGCCAGTGGCTACTGCACTGGACCACACAGATCTAGAACATTTGCACTGCAGCAGGGAGTTGTCCTGGACAGTGAGCCGTGATAACAAGGGGGATTAGAGAGAGGGCCTGGCACTTTTCA